CCCAGGGATGGGGTGCGAACCTCCAGAGGGTCCTGGCGGGAGAGGGCTTGGGAGTCTTCGGGTGCGATCTCTTGAGAAGGGGAAGGGGCTGGACTTGATCGACGGCGGGGTGGGTGGCGGGGCACCCCCATCCCGAGTATTGAGGACGGTGGTGGAGGGGCCTCTCCTGTGGCCGGAAGGGAGAATTATGAGAGGACGTGTGGTGGCCCAGGGAGGCGAGGGGCTTAAGGCCTAGGTGTGAGGACTGAGGGCAGAGATAGGAGGCCTTTTCGGGTGTACGTGAGAGGTAGAGCTGAGGGGACTCCTCGTGGGAGAGAAGGCTGGGAAGGTAGGGCACCCTGGACCGGGGTTGGGGGTGGCATTGGGGGCCAGGGACCTGTGGTGCTGTTCAGGGTGGGGCCTGGGGGTGAGTTAGGTGCTTGCCCCCACTCCAGGATCCTTCAGCCTTGCCCTTGGGTGTGGGGTTCAGTCAAATACAAGGATTTTTGTTTTGCAGGGGGATCTCTGTTGCAAGGGGAGAGTGGGGACTAGTAAGGACTGCGCTTTTTTTTTTCTTCATGTAACTTTTTTTAACTGAAATTTAAGGAAAGGTCATAGAATCCATCCACATCCTTTGCCCAGATTCACCTGTTAGTAGTTTGCAGTCTACCACCACTTAAGTTTCCTTTCTCCTCTCTCTCTCTGCTTTTTGTGTATGGGCATTTTCTCTCCCTCCCTACTTCCTTTTCCTCCTACTTATTTCCCCTTCCTCCTCCTCCCTCTCTCCCTCCCTTTGCTTTCACCTCCTTCTCCCTTGCTCCCCCTTTCTCATACACATACCTGACTTTGAGGAGGCTTGGTTGACAGTCGCACCATCCTCAGCTCCACACCACAACGGTCTAGCCCCCATCCCAGCCTGTAGATGTTTCCTGTTCTGGAGCCAGGACAGGGCCACTCATAGCATTGATTTCATGTTTCTCTGTGTGATCCTTGGATCTGGAACTTTTTGGCATTCCTAGCCTTGAGGCTTTGGGGGAGCCCAGGCTAGCCGTGCAGAATATCTGTCTGGTTCTGTCTGTCCTTCTGAGTGGATTATGGACTACAGAGGGCAGTTGGGATGTTAACAATGATGCTCAATCCGTATTTTTTTTTATTCTTTTAAAGGTACCCTTTCTCTTTTTATGATGACTAAGTGACCTGTAGGCAAAGCCATATGGGATCCCAGGAGTATCCTGCCCACTTCAGCCTTCCCACACCCAGCAAGTGAGCTTCCATGGAGGACCCTTGGGCCTGAGACTATGTGGTGGTTTGCTAGGCCAGGTAGTTGGGAGCAGAATGGAGAGCTGGTGATGAATGTCCTTAAGGTAGTTAAGGGTCCTGGAGGAGGCAGGTGGGGCTGGACAGGAAACTTGTGGTCATGGTGGGACCTGTGGAAGGCAAGGCCAGGCTTGAGCTCTGTGAAGCTCAGGGTGAAGGGGATTTGCTGCAGGGCTCTGGAGGCCCACAAGGCTTGGCACCTCAGGAATCTTCCTAATTCTGATCACCAGGAAGGGAGACAAGTAGATCTCAGAACAAGAAGCCAGATGCTGTTTTTACAGAATGCAGCTGCTTCCTTAAAGTTGGGGCATCTTTCTGAGGAGATTCCTTGGTGCCATGGAAGCCACCACTGTTCTCTGCATGTGAATAGAAGGAAGGGAGGCTGAGGTGGCTTTCTGGAGAGGCTCAGAGCTTGCAATCCCAATGGGAAAGGGCACAGAGGATTAAAGGTCCCATGCCTTTCTTTCCCCCGGGGCTGACATGTGTCTCCATTTGTGTTGGCCACCGACCCAGCTGGAGTGTGTTCTGACCTTTCCACTCTATCCTGGTCAATGGCCAAAGGCTTTTGCTCATTCTACCCAGACCTCCATGCTTGCCCCATGTTCATAGCTGGGAGGTTGGAGATGAAGGAAGATCCTGAGGCAACCAGACCACTGAGAAGGACATAGGTGGAAGGGGGAAGCTTTCCAGAGGGAGGGCTTACATAGAGTCTAGAACAGGAAACTCTGTACTTCTTTCCCCACTTGCACCTTGGGGCTGCTCCTGGTCCCCGCCCTGAGATTGCCAGGCTCTGATGGGGGGGAGACATGAGTGAGCACCAGGGCAGGGCCTGGTGGTATGGGCCCTTTGCACAAGTTAGTGAGCTCACAGTTTCCCTTGTGGAGACAGGTCCTATAATGGGACGAACATGCTTGTGATGTCCTTAAAAAATCAAAATTACGTGCTCATGGGACCTCAGTTACAGGTCCAGTGCCAACTGGCTAGAGTTGGCTTTACTTCCCACAACAGGACAGGTTCCAGATGAATCAGTCTGGAACAGGGCCGGCCAGCTGGCTGCTTCCTCACTTTGGCAGAGCTGAGTTGTCACAACCTTGATGGTCTAGTCTCAAGAGCCTATGGTATTTTCTTTTCTTTCTTCTTTTTTTTGAGACAGAGTCTCACTATATTGCCCTAGGTAGAGTGCTATGGTGTCACAACTCACAACAACCTCAAACTCTTGGGCTTAAGGGATTCTCTTGCCTCAGCCTCCCAAATAGCTGGGTTTACAGGTGCCTGCCACAATGCCTGGCTATTTTTTGATTGGAGTTGTCATTGCTGTTTAGCCGCCTGGGCTGGGTTTGAACCTGTCAGCCTTGGTGTATGTGGCTGGTGCCATAACCACTGTGCTACAGACACTGAGCCAGAAATCAATTTTTTAAAAGGTTCAATCTGGTAATAAACACTAAGAACATTATGCATGGCTGAAAGACAGCACAAAGTCGCAGATGGGGACAATGTCAAGATAGACCCAGGCAGAGAGCTCGTTAATTACCTGACAGAGATGTAAAGAAAATGCTGTGGAAAAGTGGGCTGTTTACCCATCCTGAGAGATGAGGAAATCATGAGAAAATGCTCAGACGTGGACTAGGCAGCTGCTGTGGTATGCAGGTCCTTGGCATGGGGCTAGGGTGTGAGGCAATTGCACCCTAGGGCCTGGGTGTCCTGCTTCTCCATGTATCTTTCAGACATGCACTTTATCCCAGGAGCATGGTCATGAGGGTGCATAATGGCCAGAAAGAAGTTAGGCACAGCCAGGATGCCTGGCCAGGGCCTTGCCTATGAGGAGCCACTGCAGGCCAGAAGTGTGCCCAGACCTTTAAGAGGTCAGGACAGAGGGAGAAACAAAGGGCAGAGGGAGGAGTTCTGTCCTCCAGAGCTGGGAGTTTGTACTGGAGATGGTGAGGGAGCTGCTAGTGGATGGAGGTTACTGTGAAGGCATGGCTTTGGTCTTTTTTTTTCCTTCAGGGAAGTGAATATAATTGACACACCATAAAGTTTACCTATTTAAAGTAAATAATTCGTTTTTATTTGTTTTTAGTAAATAGCATTCATACTTGTGTAGCTATTACCACAGTTAATCTTAGAACATTTACATCATCCCCAAAAGAAATCTTGTACCCATTAGCAGTCACTACCTGGGCCTCTGGCCCCTAACAGCCTCTGGTCTACACTGTGTTCTGTGGATTTCCCTTTTCTGGAACTTTCATGTCTGTGTGATCAAATTCTCCCACCCCACATCCATAAGGTCCTTGTGCCCCTATTCTGGTGGGGAAATGCTTGAGTAGACTCTGTTCACCTTCCAGAGTTTTCTCTGTACAAGTGGAATTTCTGAGAAAACATTCCTGCTGGAGCTGTGGCCATGCATGAATTTTCTTGAATTTCTCAGACTTTGAGTTTGAAAGAAAAAGTGGTTCCCTTCTGTGGTTCAGCCAAGGGGAATGTTCACACTGGCCTTGCGTGTGGCCTTCTGTTTGTGTTTGGTGTATGTCGTGGAGGTGGGTTCTGGCCCTATGGCTCTGCAGACCCTGTGCGTCCTGGGAGGGGCTGGTTACAGCTCAGAGTTCACATTTTTGTGCATCAGTGTCTGTCAACTCTTATGTGCCCATGGCCAGTGAAAACATCACAGGCTTAGGCCTGTTGGAGGCCCATCCCTCAAGATTTCACTTGAGATCCTGTTTTCGTCTCCTCTTGAATCGTGGGTGCCTTATTTGAGGACATTTAGCTGGGTACGGGGAAGGCTGGCTAGGACCTGAGCTCTCTGCTCCTGCTGGCCATGCTTATAGCTTCCTCCTCTTCCAGGCCCAAAGGTCTGTGCCATTTTCAGAATCAAGTGGTAATTTTCCAACCATTTCCTACACTTATTTCTAAATGTATATTTTGTATTTTTGGGGGTATTATAATGAGAGGAGCAATTCTGACACCTAGCCCCTTCATATTACTAGGAACTAAAGTCCTTATAGTATGTATTTTTATTTTTTAGCCTAGGGTTGATATTTGTCATAATATATAGTTTTAAACACTAAATACCTTGCATTTCTGGGATAAACATAAATACGGTGTGTCGTTAACTTATATCATGTATATAAGATGTGTGGTTGGAATGAGTTTATTGATATTTTAAAAATTTTACCTTTAGTGTTTTATTTTGTTTTGTTTTTACATCTAGGTTTATATTTGAGGTTGTCCTATAATTTTTTTGCCCTACTCATGACTGATTTTTTTTTTTTTTTTTTGAGACAAGAGTCTCAAGCTGTCGCCCTGGGTAAAGCACTGTGGTGTCACAGCTTACAGCAACCTCAAACTCTCTTAGGCTCAAGTGATTCTTTTGCCTCAGCCTCCCAAGTAGCTGAGACTACAGGCACCCGCCACAACACCCAGCTATTTTTGTTGTTGTTGTTGCAGTTGTCATTGTTGTTTTAGCTGGCCAGAGCTGGGTTCAAACCCGCCAGCCTTGGTGTATGTGGCGGGTGCCCCACTCTCTGAGCTACGGGTACTGCCAGACTGATTTTTTTTAATCCTGGTAATACCAGTCTTATAAAATGAGCTGTTCCTCCCACTTTTATGTTTTTATTTAACTTAACAATTACCAGTTCTCAGACATGGGTGCCTGTGCCCAGGTTCTCATATGCAGCTGTCTCTGTCTCATCTGTGTCCTCTGCAGGTCCTTGGTCCTGACACACCTGAGCTCCCTGGGCATCCTGTTGTCCCTGGTCTCTCCCTTGGAGCCACTTTGTCTAGCTAGACACACTTGCATTTCCCAGTACAGGTCTGAAAAGATGCTGCCCTTGGAGAAGGCATTTGCCTCCCCCAGGACCTCCCCGACCCCCCCGGAACTGCCCGCACCAGGGTCAGCTGGTGGAGGAGCACCAGGGTCAGCTGCTGGAGCACAGCAGGAAGAACCGGGGAATGTCTCCGAGAGAACTCCCGCTGAGAAAACGCCCACAGAGAAAACTCCCGCAGAGAACACGCCCACAGAGAAAATTCCCGCTGAGGACACGCCCACAGAGAAAACTCCCGCAGAGAACACGCCCACAGAGAAAATTCCCGCTGAGGACACGCCCACAGAGAAAACTCCCGCTGAGGACACGCCCACAGAGAAAACTCCCGCTGAGGACACGCCCACAGAG